AGCTGTGATGGCAAGGTAATGGCATTTTTGTGTTGATTTTGGGGGGAAATCTGTGGAATGGATTCCTCGTAAAAATGTGTTAAATGGAGCTGAGTACTGCACTCTTATTGTGAGTATATGCACTGCTGCTGCCATTTTAAGAGAGTTTTAGATACTCTTCTTTGCACTGTGCCAAAGAACACGCTTACCTGTAGTAAAATCACTGTAACATACTGCCTTTTGTGGCTTATTGCTTTAATGAAGGACAATATTGAACACCACTGATGAGAGAAAATCATATTGAGATTAGTCTTATTTTTGTTATTTTAGCTTGTGCCAATGGTTGTTACAACACTACAGTAATGACTATTAAATATTAGAATTATGATATTGGTTATGCGTTCTTATATCACCTTCATACTGCTGAAAATTGCCTTATACAGTCCATGTATTTTTTGCATTGATAGTAATGTCAATGAGTACTTCTGCACTTTACTGAAGGAGCTTCAACTTTGCTTGAACATTTCAATTTGTTGCAACTTTTAAGTTGGCCTCACTACATTTTTTTAATCCAGATAAATATTTTTTACTCTAAAAGATTCTGATTGTCTCATTATTCATTACCTTGATGTTTTTTTTTCATTATTTGCAAAAATAGTGGAGTGGTCTGTGACTTTTAAGCAATGTAATGCATCCTTGCTGAATAAAAGTATTAATTTCTTTAAAAAAATCATTTAATTTACATTTTTTTAAACTTATTTTTTACTTTTTAATTTTATTGTGTCTAGTTTTATTATTATTATTATCATCATCTTATTATTATTATCATCGTATTATGTTTTACTAAAGTAAAAGTAATCCATTAAAATATAACTTAAGTAATTTATAGATTTGATATCTTTTATCTATAATACTGATATGGGAAAACCTTTTGCACACAGCTCTATGCTCCCATTGGCTTGTTTTTTATTGTTTTTATTTAGCTGTATGGTTTGTTTGCCCTAAGGGGTCGTTATTATTATTCTTCACTCTCAGCATTTAAAATTATTGCTAAAGCTCATGATTAAAAAACATAATTATCATTCAGCACAGGAAGTGATTTATACTTCCTGTAAGACCGAGCCTGTCTTCACAGAGGCCCTGCCCACAGGTTTCTCAGGGATCTTAGAAGATATCATGTTAAGCGATCACATCTCACCATCATATAATAGCCCCTGATGTGCACTGATTCCACTGAGGTTTTTAACCATGTCGCAGATTTCCCAGGCTTCATCCATCAGGATCACTCTCTGGGTACAACTGCCTTTTTTTCTTGTCAGACTATAACTTTAGTGTGCTGTGACATTAAAACCACATCTTGTTGAAAACCACAAACTGTGGAAAAAGCAAAGCCTGGGAAAGGCCGGACTCTGCCAACGAATCAGCAGTGGGCTTGTAGAGAACTGCAGTCCCTCTATCTGCATCTGGTAGGCATCAAAGGTAGGTTCACACACTACTAAGTGCACTCTTGTTTGTGGGTACCATGTAATAATCTCCCCTCGGTGCATTTTTGCTGTTACGCTGCCATCAAAATCTTGAACAAAGCTCCCTATGTTTAATGTCAATATGTCAGCAGCAGATCTTGACTGTCTTCTTTTTCCGATTGTTTTCAACAGCGGATCTGGAAGGAGGCCACTTAGCAACCCCAAAACTCCAAGCGTAGGATGCGTGTCCAGATGGGTGAGCACTAAATCACTAAAGTGTGATTGGCCAGTCCAGGTGTCATCTCAAAATTCTAATCTGTGATTGGCCATCTCCAGGCAGAGGCGGAGCACTCCTTAAAACCCAATATGACCTCCTTGGTTTGAACTGGAGCGGGATTTGTTTGGACCATCCAAAATAAATATGTAAGTACACTTTATGATGTAGCCTACAAATAACAGAGAACCATTTAGTGAACAGTTCTTACAAGAACCATTTTTTTGTTTACTTTTTAAAGTTCATTTACTTTTTGTGTTAGTCAAAGGAATAGTTCACTCAAGAATGAAAATTTGCTGAAAATGTACTCACTCTCAGGCCATCCAAGATCCTAGATGAGTTTGTTTGATGAATTCAGCTTAACATCACTTGCTCACCAATGGATCCTCTGCAGTGAATGGGTGCCATCAGAATGAGAGTCCAAACAGCTGATAAAAACATCACAATAATCCACAAGTAATCCACATGACTCCAGTCCATCAATTAACAATGGTTTGTGAAGCACCAGGCTGCATGTTTGTAATAAACAAATCCAATAAAGATATTTTAACTTCAAACTGTTGCTTCCAGCAAGTCCTCTATCCATAATATTTGTTTCTTCAGTGAAAATGTTATTTAGTCTGAATCAGGAGAGAAATATGCACAGATCAAGCACTGTTTACTAGTGAAAACAGTCCAAATATGTTGGTGGATTTTGATGTGAGGGGAAAACAGGCAATGGACTTTTTCACTGCAGGAAGCATTATTATGAATTATGGACTTGAATTTTGGCCGGAAGCAACGGTTTGAAGTTTAAAACACCTTAATGATGGATTTGTTTCTTGCAAACACTCACTTTTCACTTCACAAGACGTTAATTGATGGACTGGAGTTGTGTGGATTACTCTTGGATTATTGTGATGTTTTTATCAGCTGTTTGCACTCTCATTCTGACGGCACCCATTCACTGCAGAGGATCCATTGGTGAGCGAGTGATATAATGCTAAATCTGTTTAGATGAAAAACGTCATCTTGAATGGCCTGCGAGTAAATTGTCAGCAAATTTTCATTTTTGTATGAACTACTCCTTGACCACATGGTCAGCTCTAGGCTCTGTAAACTGAGCTGAATGTATTATTTGTAAGTAAAGAAGGGTCATGGAAGCGGCCTGCATTAACAGAAAAGGTTTAAACTCTTATTTTGCACATTTGGGTTTGCTGACATGTTTTTCCATGGTGGGATTTAGTAGAAAAGGCACATAGTTGAGGTTAGCAAAACAGTTTTAAATAACTTCAAACACCCTCAGTGCTGAATACAAACATTTCCGTGACATCCTAGTCACTCACAACTGAGCTGCACCCCAGCAAACAGTGACCTTCATAGACAAACAGCTAAATTGTCATGTAGTATCTAGATCAGTGTTTCCCAACCTTTTTTTGAGCATAACGGTTAGCAGATCAATGAATGAGAGGGCAGCGTTACCAGAGTTGACCATTTACCACACCAAGTTACAGCACAGTAGGGCTATTGCAGACACATATGTAAACATTATTTAATTACCATTATAACTAGCTATCTCACAAATTTTTTTTTATTTTGGTGCAGTAGCACGAGATTTCGCATAGAGCGGGATAATACGCAGAGCGTCACACCACGTGAAAGTGAAACCTGAGCAGTGAACTAATTTTCGGCAGCCAAAATTTTGGTGCATCTCTAATTATTGGCGACATCAGAAATGTCTATTATATAATAGCTGCTTTTTTGAACATTTTAGCAATTTAAAAATATTTAAAAAATATTTTTTACACGGCACCCCTGCTCTCGACAGACGGCACCCCGGTTGGGAAACACTGATCTAGATAATGATAATTTGCTGCATGTTTCAACTTTGTCTTTTGGTACCCTGGGATTGGCTTGTCCTATCATTTTAACTCTTTCATCTTTACAGAATTCAGTTCTGGCCAAGTGGCAACTCAAGTGGCAACACAAAAACATGTAAAATCTATAAAAGTATCTGCGTAGGACTATATGGTGTATTGTGATGTTAAATCAAGACTTTTTATTTGTTGAGTCATTGTTTGTGCATTTAACTTAGTCCTAGACTTGCTCTCTGCTCTATTTTGGCTGTAGTAGTTTCAGTTTATTGTTATGGGTTTATATTGATTCAGTGCTGTCTGAAGGATGGCTCTAGATGGCACTATCTTCATGTGAAGCCTCACCATCTCATGACTTCTTTCTCTCCACAGAGACCAAAAAGAATTTACAGCAAACATTTACTCTTGGGCATTGACTGTATTTATTTGCTTATTTGCTGTCATATTTATTTATTTATTTTATTTAGCTATATATACATCAGGGTTTCTGTTTTGTCTTTATCAATACCTCTGCTCTCTTTTGCATTCACCCTTTCCAAATATAGGTTTCTTTGCTGATATTATAACAAACTAGTGCATTTTACATTTTTGGTTTGTCTGTTTCTGAGTTTTGTACATTAGCTGTCTTCAGATTCCCAGAACAGGGATTCTGATTCAGTCTGATATTTTGATGAAAGTATTGTTTCATTTTTAATTATTTTCTCCAAACCGATCAGCTGTATTTGTAGATTTTCTGTTGTTTTATGATGCCACTAATTGCATTCTTGTCTCATAAATGTATTAGAAAAAAACATCTCAAGTTTCCAACGAAACAGACACTTTCCTCATGCATTTAATTTTGGTTTTAACGGAAATGCAATTAAATGCATCTTAAGATTTTATATGAGCTTATAAAAGTGCATGTGTGTTTGTGTTGGGTATAAAATTACTTATTTCCTTTTTGTTGAAATTGAGTAACAGCTGCATGTTGTTTAGTTCATTTTAATCTCGCACCTCCCCTTCCATCAGAGTAATTTGCACTTGTGCTCTTGCTTTATTTTCCCTCTTTAATTGCATTTTTTTTTTGTAAACCGTGATCTCATATCTTTGGCTAGCTCTTTTTTTTTGTGTAGTTTTTTTTTCATACTGCGGGGTATTTTTTTTAAGCTATATTATTTAAGCTGTGCCGTTCCAGCCAGAATAAACACGCTAGACTTCAAGAAATTAAACACTATTGATGTACAGTCCAAGTAAAACAGTATTTTTGCTTATTTTGTGTCAAGTCAATATAACAGGAAGGGTAGCGATTAAATAAATATTGGTAATTTTTCATTTCTGTGTCATACACATGCAGAATCAATTACAAAAGTATTTCCGGAGCAGTGACTGTGCTGTTAACAGTAAAGGACGGCGATGCTTAAATCCGTGGCTTGGTTTAAGACAGGAAATATTGAACGGAGAAAATTTACCAATAAATTTAATTAAGAAACCAAAATTGCTTAATGCCACATAATTTGACTTTTTTCCAACAGCACCGGCAGTTGTGAACCGCATGCGGCAAGCAGCGGAAGATAGAATCTCAAATGAATGTTCCAGACTCTCAGATCCTGCCTTGTGAAGTGTTCAGATCTGAAACTAATCAACAAGCAAACTAAACAAACAAAAAACATCTTTGAGAGCATTTGCCAACTCATATTGCAGGTCAACAGCTATGTAGCCTTGGGTTTGTGCTCATTAACCTGAGTCGATTTAGAGATCATGTAGATTAGCTGTAGATTGCTGTTTTATTACTAAACATTCATCTCAAGTAACACAAAACTGCTAAAAATAATCTCGATATGAATTTTTTACGAACATTTTTCCCCCTCTGAAATACCACACACTCCCAGAGTTTTTCCAGCTCTGTAAGTACAGAGGCTTTGTAATTGATAGTATTCATTAAGCCAAACTACCCATGGTTAATTGCTTCTATGACGCTTTGGCTCTGGGGAGCAGCTCCACAGCTGAGCTGAACGGTTTGCTCTTGGCCAAGGAACAAAGCTATCAGCAGACATGTTTGAGGGCATCCAGGCTTCCTCTTGAAATTAAGCAGGAATTGTCACTCGGCTGACAAACCGCCATCAGACAACAGCATCAGCAGGAACCCTGGAAAAGAAGAGGAAAATAACAAATCCACAACCACTATGGAAATGCAGTAAAATGTGTTTTCATGCAGCCTGGAATCCCACAGTTAAACCTGCAGGCACATAAATAAGTGGAAAGCGGCCTTCCCAGAGGCCTGTGAACGCCATGCGTGCTGGTTCACAGTGAGAACGGGTAGAGTCAAGGGATTGCGTCATCATGTGTCACGAAACCCCCTAACACCAAATCCAAGTCCACCACATGCCTTTAGATTTCTGAATCATGCTATTACGTAACTCTGAGCACATTCGCAGACTCTGAAAGGGGTGTGGCTTTCTGCGATTCGGGTCAAGTGACCCCGAAGTGGAACCGTTGAACAACGTAGAAGGAGGATATGGGGTGTCTCATTTGGATGGGGGCCTTGCAGCAATTCCCTTGGCTCTTCCTCCTAGTATGACCTTTCTGACAGAAGGTGGGAAAGGATCCAAGCCCACGGCCCAACGCCACATCAAATCAACCATTTCCTCCCATGATAAGATGGCTCAGACGAGCTTCCCAGATCTCCAATAAGGAGGAAAAGGGATGTTTAGAGGATCAGTCCTGGTGGAGGATGATTTTGGCCATCGTTGTTCCTTCCCACTAAATCCTCTCGTGTTTCTTCTTCAGCATCGAGAGACGTTCTCCTCAATCTCACATTGTTCTTCATTAAAAGAAAATAGTTCTTCACACTAAGAAAAAAGAAAGGTTCTTTTAAGAACCAAGAAAGGTTCTTTTAAGAACCAAAAAAGGTTCTTCAGTGGCATTACTGCAACAACCTTTATTTTTAAAGAGTCTATACATAGAGTCTATGTCATGCTTGTGCTTGTTTTTAAAGCAGATGCACTCGCTGTTTGCAGAGACGCAACTGGATGCATCCTAAGACCCAGAATCCTGCGAGGAAACCCAGATGGATAGGATCGGTAGCCGTGACGAGGCTCTAAATGTGAAGAGTCAGCACTTGAAAAGAAAGGTACACACAACTCGACTTAGCTGACCCATGTGGCAGAACCTGATACTCCCTGAGCGGAGCGGAGGCCCGGTTCAGGCATACTCGTTTACCTCGGCTCCAACTCTAAAGGGCTCTGACTGCCCTTACCCCATTAGCTTCCTGTCAGGATCATGCATTTCCTGTCTGCTTCTTGTTTTTTCTGACATTAAGAAAGACAGGTGTGTG